TACAGTATCCTAATGATTATGTTATGGGACCTTTACTGTTTATTATTTGCTGTACATGTTGCTGCTTGGCCACCATGGGTTAATAATTTTCTTAAATTAAATTGCAATACTGAGGTTATGCTTGTGAGTATTATTGAAAGAACTAAAACCTAAACCTTAAGTACTTATTGAATGATTATTATCAGACTCTTATTTTGAAACTTGTTAATTCAGGCTTTCTTACTCTGATGAAAGCCAGGCTACACAGCAGCCTTCTCTTGTGCTGCACTACATCTGCAGTAGAGTAAATGAGAAATCTGTTGTTTTTGGAAGAACACTAATGAAGAATGATGTGACTGTGAAGCATGTATGATGCAGGTGATGGAACACAAGTCAGTGAGCTGGTGGCAGCACTAGTTGTCACTATCCTGAGACTGGAAGTTTGTGCTGTGCAATGGAAAAAACTGCGGTGACCAGGAAGAGTAGTACAATTACAAGTAGGATGGCACAGGTGTGAGTTTTCACTTGCCGAAGTTTTTTAGAAATTAATTGATAAGGACATATTCCAAATAGGAACCACAACAGAAGAAAAAATCTCAGCTATGTTCTGTGGTGCAAGCTGTAGGAGAGGAGGTTGAGGGTCAACACCATACCAGTTGTACACCAACCAAAGGGGATAATTGGGGGAGTTTAAAGGGAGGGGAAAAACCTGTCACCATAGCAGCCAGGGCAACGTTCAATGTTCACCAGGGACACTGAGGGCTGTGAACAAGGAGGCCCAGACCCAATGCAGCCTGACATGTGAGTTTGCACCCACGGGCAGACAGTCAGTAACCAAGGGTGGCTCTTATGGTAACAGAGAAATGAACTTGAACTTGAACTTGAACTTGATTGCCATATGTAACCGGTACTGGTACAATGGAATTCTTACTTACAGAAAGTCTCTTGATTGTAAAACAAGTGTAAAAAACAAAACAAAGTGCAAACAGTGCATCAAGACAATGTACAAACAAACAATAGACAATGTGCAAGTAAACATGCAGACAGTTTGAATGTAAACAATACAGACGTGTAAACAATGACTGGAGACGTACAATAAATAAATTACAATGAGATAGATGGTGATGGTGTAGGTGTGGTCCGAGGGGGATGGCTAAATGTGTTCGCCAGTCTCACTGCTTGTGGATAAAAGCTATTGAAGAATCTAGTGGTAAGTGTCCGTATGCTCTTATATCTCTTGCCTGAGGGCAGTGGGGTGAAGAGCTCATGCCCGGGGTGGTGACTGTCCTCTGTGATGGCCAGAATTCTACCACGGCAGCGGTCCTCATAGAGCTGTTTAATCTCGGTGAGACCGCAGCCGATGATCTTCTGGGCCATATTGACCATTCTCTGCAGTGCCTTTCTTTCTCGCGAAGAGGTGTTGCCATACCACACGGTGATCCCGTTGGTGAGGACGCTCTCGATAGTGCAGCGGTAGAAGTTCACCAACACATGTATTGGCATCCCCCATCGCTTGAGGCACCTCAAGAAATAAAGGCGCTGCTGAGCCTTCTTCATGATAGAGTCAGTGTTCACAGTCCAGGTTAGATCTTTAGAGATGTGAATTCCCAAAAACCTAAAGCTGGTGACTGTTTCCACTTCCGTTCCATCAATACTGAGTGGGCTGTGAGTGTGTGGCCTGTGTCTCAGAAAGTCCACTATTAGCTCTGTATAAATGGAGGACTGGATGGAAAATGAGGAGATGAAACAATGAATATAAGCTGGAACCATAAGTACAATGAGTTGAATGCTTAACCAGAAATGGAGAGAAAATGGTGGGGAGTGAGTGAAGTGGGCAAGATTAGGATAAGGGGGAAAAAGGAGACCAAAGAGCAATGACTTTTCAGAGATCCACGGAGGGTTAACATCAGGAGAACTGAAAGATAGGAACACACCGCATGACAGGGCAGAGCTGGTTGTTTCTGTGAAGAATTTGAGGTTTTTTGTTTCAAAAGGGGTGAGAAAGTGAATCCATTCCTGGTTTGTAGGATGCAAATGCAATACAGATAAGATAAGAGCTTACTATCACTCAATGTTAAGTACAGTGTGTCTGCTTCAAATGAGACTACAAAATCTAGTACTAGAAAATATTGTGGGTAGCCAGGGGGTATTTACTGTATACTTAGATCAGCAGAAGTGTAGAAATTGAATTAGAATTTGACCACCCAATCTTCTGTTAAACACACACCATGAATCACTTTAAGACCTGTATTTTTGTCAAATTAACTGAGTTTACTCTGCATATACAGTTTCTTTCCAACTGTTATTTATTTTTGCTGTTGCCAGAGACAGACCTTACATACCAATTCTCCATCACTTTTGTTCTTCATTGTTTCTGCATGTTCGTTTTCGCATTCAGCTGAGACTGATCTTAGTCAGCCCCAGGGATCCCCAGTCGTATAATGTGACACCCTCTACGACAGAACAGGTGAGATTCAGCAACTGCAGTCGTGTTGAGTCATGTAGTGTGACGCCGGCGTTACCTCAACCAGGCAAGTGTTAACATATACAGTACACTTTTAATGTGTTTAGTTTCTAGGTCACATAATTAGGATTTGACAAACTACAAAATTTGAGTTTCTAAATAGATGTTTAGGAAGAGGTCAATTTGTAATTTTGCACTCTGACCACTCTCACACTCCACCCTGTGTCATCGTAGCCGTGGAGAGAGACCGGGGAGGCTGGAGGACCCTATGCGTAGTGGCAGGAACAGAGCAAACACGGGGGTTCAGTTCGGGCTCAAGGTATCAGGCGGAGTCGGAACGAAACATTAGTCCTCAGGTAGCAGACGTGGGGTGACCTGGTCGGGTGAGTCTCTCAACAACTGATCCCAATGCCGAGCGAGAAGGATAGGGAGACCCAGAAATATAAAGCCCCTGACAACAAGACACACCAGAAGAACAAGTTAAAGCACAGGGAAACTACAAACAGGACAGAGCAGGAGCGCCCTCTAGATGTAGAGGGCGTGACACCCTCCACCTTATCATTAGCCTGCTCCCTGGTTCATTCCTTGGTTGATTTCCTGTGTGAAGAATCTGTCAGTAAAAAATGTCCTCTCTTGGTTCGTGGGAGCATTTGCAGAATAGGAGATAGATTTAACCACAGGTTGTATTCTTTTACTTTAGAAGGCAGCCTTCAGTATATCTTCTTTTGGCTTTTGTAGGTCCCAATGAAGAGTTGAATACTTGATAGCAGTCTGGAATTTTTTATGGATGGTTAGAACGTAGGTCTGCGGGATGTGTTGTTCTATGTTTATGTTGTGTGTAGTTTACTGTGTGTATTGTCATTTCAATAAATATTTGTAAGTAAAAGTGAAAGAATGTGTTGTAAGTAAAATAATTATTACTCTTTTCACTAAATCTGTACCAGAGAACAAAGCTCATGTGTCACTAATTATAGCAACCGCCTAGGTATATTTTTTGGCAAAAGTACAGTAATTACAAGTTGGGGTTATAATTATTTAATTTACTTATTGATTACTCTGTAGTTTCCTGAATTTCTCCATTTTTGTAACCCCCTATTTGTAAAAACCCCCTATTTGTTATTATATATGGAATATGTATTTCCATATTCTATAGCCCATAGTTATGATGGCATCGTATGCTGCATATTGTTTTAAAATTTCAGTTAAGATCAGCTTTATTCCTCAAATTGAAAAAAAATATTTTTTTCATTTTCATTTTTAAAGCTTGATTAAGTTATGTTTCAGCTGAAGTAATAAAGCTTGTAAAAAAAGTATCCAAATATTTTCTCTCTTTCAAAAGCATAATTAAATAGCAATCTCCACTGGCAAAATGCTTTTTTTGCATTTATTATGTCAGTGAATGACTTCTAAAATAAATATAAAATGCTTTTTTCTTCCTTCTTTTCAAGAGGAGAAAAATGCTAATGAAAAATGCATCAAATGCCACATTAGACTTCACTTAGAAGAAAAACTTAATTAACCTAAATGTTATGAGCAGGATGTTCTTTTTAATGCCTGTTTGTTCTGATTTGCAACTTCATTAAAATGTTGAGTTTTTTTTTTCTTTTGCGTGTTCCTATTATCACATTGAAATGTTTCATTAAGCAGTAAGCTTCCTTGGTGTAAAAAATTAACTACTAAAAGTGAGCCTTTGTTCAGGACAATTATTCTTAATCATGTAAATGTGACATAGAGAACTAATAGATTCTTAATGTACTGCCCCTTTCATGTCATGTTTGTTTCAACCTATCTCTGGTTCAGTAGAAGTTTACACCTAAAGCTCTTTAACAAGGAAATACTTTTCCTCTCCTAGATAGGTCCTTATTACCCTTTACATTAGGGATCAATTTTGCATTTTGATAATATTTTTTCATCTTCATTTTTGTAATTTTCAATAAACCAGCTACACTGTACTACATGACCTAGTAGTTGCTTTGGAGTCTTAGACTTTAAACCACAGGTGTGTAAATAGACCACTGCCTGTTCTAATATACAGGTTAATATACTGTTATTATCAAGGTTATACATTTGCAGAAATCTGAAATTTAGAAATATGGTGAAAGAATCAAGACATTGCAACTTTTTCACAACAAGCCCAGTCAATAGGCTTAACCTAATGGATAGCAAGTTCGAGTGACTCCTAATTGAATCATTGCTGTTAAAAGTTCAGTAAACCCAATTGCAAAAATCACTCACAAATTCTATGGCAGGAACTTCTGAACTCATCCACAATATTTCTAAACATTGGGGAAAGCCCCATAACATTTTAACCCCACTCATTGTGTTTGTATTCTGATGTGTGTGGTTCCAAAATAGATATTGTTCCAAACTGGAAAATGAAAAAGGAAAAGGCACATAAGACCATTTAAATCTGTATCACTGTTTGAATTATAGTGTACTAATTATACTAAAGAATGTATTACTGAATACTAAAATAAAAAAAAGTTGCAGTACATGGCAAAATGCATGGCAAAGCTTGAAAAAAAGAAGTATTGATACTAATAATGCAGTGTTTTGTTTAATGAAATTAAAAGATTTTTAATTTAATTAGTTCAGTACACATGTTATATTTCAGAATTTGCTGAAAGGCTGAAGCATCTCAGTAGAGAAATTGGGGTGCCAGGCCACGTAGTTGAGGATCAACATGATGTGAAGGTTTTCCAGTAGAAATTTCTGCATCCTGCTTTACGTTCTCTGGGAGGGATTTCCTTCCCTATCTCAGTAGATCTCTCCAGCTCAAGTCTGGCATCACTGTTCTCATCCAACACAGACATTTCATTCTCCAGGGCTTCACTGTCAGACTGAACAAGCTGGGAGATAAGGTCCTCTATTGCATATTTAGAGGAGTCCTGCAACAAAGAATCAAATGTTAACTGATATGAAATAAAATTGCAGGGTGTTATGTTGGTTCCACAAAAAAAAAAAAAACTTTCACCAGAATTATACAAGAGGAGTTTGTGATGAGTATAAAATGCATCAGTAAACCCTTCAGGCTGTAGAGATTAAATAAATACATATTTCAGTGAAGGATTTTTATTTCAACTAACCTTCCTTTTGAAAGTGTGATTTCAGACTCTAGTTTTATTTTCTCTTCGAGAAAATATGTGATTCTTATTAATAATACTTTAAAGATTTTGATCTATGGTGTAGGGCACCAAAGTAGAACTGTGGTTAGCATTGCTGCCTTACAGCACTGGTGCCCTGGATTCGTTTCTGGACCTTAGGTGCTATCTGCATGGAGTTTGCATGTTCTCCCTGTGCTTGCCTGGGATTCCTTCCACAGTCCAAAGGCATAATGACAAAGATTAATTGGCTCCTGGGACAATTTGGCTCTGGTGTGATTGTGTGTGTCTGTGTTTGTGTCTATGTATGCCGTGATGTCCCATCAAGGGTGTATCCCTTCATGCACCTGTTGCATTCCTGAATAGGCTCCAGTTCCACCTGACCCTGCATTGGGTAAAGTGTTAAGAAAATGGATGGATGGAACAGTGGTGTATCTTTAACATTACACCAACATGGAAGACAATATTTTACAATGTATTTTAATCCAACTTTTAGGATTTAACTGAAACACATCAGACTCAGAGTCAGGCAAAGTGAGTCGGGCAGTCAGGTAGAGAGTCTTCTGTCAGGCTGCCATAACAGTTAAATTAGATGTGTGAAGCACAGAATGGCCTGAATTTACTGCTGTTTCTATTAACTGTAAAATTAATTTAACTTACCTGTTTATTTAGGCCTGCAGCTTTTGCCTTCTGTAGAAACCTCCTGAACCGAAGGTCTGAGTGCGATACAGCGCTGACACAGCAAAAAGCAAGAACCAACCCAAAGAGAGCCAAGGTGCAATGAACACGATAGGACAGCATCTTGCCTTGAAGGAAAGTAACGGTACAGGTGAAAACGGTGTCAGGAGTCCTTTCCTTGACTTACAAATGGGTCTGGCAAGCCTCTTTTTAAACTGGCTTCCACACGTCAGAACGGTATGGTTTGCATGGCATTTGGCTTATAGAAGCATAATCTCCGCCCACTGTATCCCAAGAGATGGTGGAATTTTGTGCTTTAAACATCTTAGAGGTTCCTCTTATTTCTTTGTTTAGTCATTTACTCACAAAAGGAGTTTACAGCATTCAGATTGAGTTGAATGGAAGCTTACAATAAAACAATTAGCTTCAATGGGTCTAACTCTTTCTGTTATTCCAGAACAAACACAACCAAGCAATGTACTCATTATAAACTATTTGCTAAAGAAGGACAAACTAGAATTTGTCAGAATAGTGATGTCAAATGGTAAACTTGCAATCATTTAATGCATTTTAGTATTTTTTTCCTCTTGGTTATATTCACAACATTATTTAAAGATGTTAAATAAACTGTTCTTTATCACTTCAAGTAAAGCAAAACAAAAAGAAATTAGTGAAGTGGACTAAAGGCAAAGAAAACCCAACTGTTTTTTTTCTTCAGTTAACATTTTTAACATACGTTATTTATACCAAACAAAATTATTAAAATTCAGATTTCTAAAACTGAATTTGTCCTTGTCTTTTAGTAGAAATCAACTATTATTAATTAGTAATTTATGTTCATTGTTTTTAAAGAACAAAATGCACCACAATATTTCTCACATTTATTTAATATATGAATACATTTAATATTTTTAATACAAATCTCCAAACATCTCTTACTGTTGTGTATAGAAATGTTATATTAGCATAGGAATATATATGTATAAGAGATAACATCTTATGTAAGTAATAATAAGTAATGATTTAGGCTGATAAAATGATTTTTCAGCTAAAAATGCTACATGGGAGCATGCTAATGCTGTCTTTAATTTTGCCAGCTGAAATATTTCCAGATTTTCCAAGCGGTTCTTTAAGCCATCATTGTCTTCTGCTTGTCTTTCTGTTACGACCACCAGCCAGCGGAGATCAACTCACAAAAGAACTAACCAGTACCAGCAGCAGGTTAATAATAACAAGCGCCGCCGCGCGTGTTAATCCATCAGCACACGCTCTACCATACTGCACGCATCACTATTTAAACCATCCTAACCAGCTTCCCGCTGCACGGTGTTGAGTCTTCTCTTTGAGAGCTCAACCTCACATTAACCCTGAACCTCGCTTACTGGATACTGAACTCTCTTTTGCCTCTCGACCTTGGACCTCGCCTTCTGTTTTGGATTGTTTGCTTCTCTCTGTACTTCCTGGTTATTGATCTATCTTTCGCCTATCGACTACAATCTTGCCTGACGTTCCAGATTGTTCGCCTGTCTCAATATCTACTTGCTCCTGCATCTGCACGGGATCTGCAAACCTTTTCATTGAGGACTGCTGACACTTTCCAGGAGGGCTCCTATTAATATCTACTAAAACACAGCAAACTGCCAATTAAGTACTAGAGCTGATATGAATAAAAAATCAGATGACACAGGAGTCTTCCAGATGACTGTTGTCAATAAAAACATCAACATGAGAGCATGGATGGAGTGATTCACAGTACCTCAGAATACTGGACACACAAGTTTCGTTGGGCATGCCTTCATTGACAGAGACTTACGAAACATACACATTTACATGAAATTTAAAATTTGGAGGAGCCCATGCACCTTCCTTCATTTCAGTAGCAGGCATTTCATAAATATAACATTTGATGGGCATAATTTAACATACATTTTGTGTGCCAAGCATTTCTGATCACTTTGATCAAATGAATAGCAGGATAATAGTTATGTAGAGGGCTTACGTTATTGATGGGGATTACAGTAAATTATTGATGTAGGACTGAGCAGTTAGGAGGAGCTGAGAGATCAAGATGGCTATACCAAGAGGGTTAATATGGTATTGGGCAAAAGGGGGAATGGAGAATGGGCCTATTGTGAAATCCTGCTTAACTAAGTCCACAGTCACAGGATCATTGAGTGCTTCTGCATCCAGTGGAGTTGAAATTATTGCTGACTTCTCTTCCTCTTGAGAAAGAAGATAATAGCATGGCACCTAGCATTTTTAATCTTGGGTAAAAGAATCGGAGATGGGTAAGGGATGATGGGTGAAGTTGGCAAGACTGAAAGTAGAGGAGATTTAGAGTGAGTGCTGTAGGAATTAATGTGAATGAGAGCCACAAATGATGGTATGCAACTAGTAAACAGGTAGCAGTAGAGCTTGGTATGGAGCCCTGATAGACAAGATGATTAAGATGTCTCAGACAAAGCTAATGACAATTGAAGTCTTTGGACAGTTATCTGGATATCAATCAGTTGAAATTAAGGCTATGGCTCCTGCTTCTGAAACAATGAAATCGACTCACTTTTCCAAAAGGACTACATTCTGTCTCCTGAAGACCTCTAAGGTGTCCCCAGTGTCATACTGTCCATAGAGTTTATTGTCTTCCAGACAAAAACAGTTGCTCACAGTGTTCTGCAATTGAGTTCTACTTTGGTTTTCATTCAGTCATGCTACTGTACATCTTCACTCTCACTCAGACGTTACTCACAATAATTTCGAAATTTGTATCCTCAGTCATATTCAAACTATAGTCTCTTGTGCCTTGTTCTTCTCAGCCAAGAGACTAATTCCATTAAATCTCTATTTATATTACTCCTCTTCTGTCATGTAGTGCAGAAGAGTCTCTACAAATCCTGTTTATGAAGTGCTGATGCTTTTGGGAATATCTTACCATGTTCATGTGGGGAGCTGTGTCTGTGTGCTTCAAATGCAGATGATTGAGTAATGGTCAGTTCAATTCTGAAAAATAGAAAGAAGGAAAACAATGTTTCAACTGTTGAGCCTCCTCAGATATGAGTGAGAGTAAAACAGTGGGAATATAAAGCTCCACAGAAGAAGAAGAACAGAGTATAGGACTGATAATACAGGTGAGAAAGAGTGTTCATGTGAAAATGAATCAGAGGGATGTGTAAAAAGCTGAAATCTGTGAATGAATAGAGAGGGTGTAAAAAAGACATTAGTCTGTCATTGGCAGAAGGGTACAACTGACCCAAGTTTTTGGATAATCTTGCCTTCGGATATTTTTCTGGAGTAAGTCTTGAAATCCCTGTGTTACTACGCAGACAGCGGTGGAGGAGTACAGGCCGAAAGCAGAGATCAGGACTGTGAAGCGACCGTGTGCTGTGGGAAGCTGTGAAGCAAAAAGCTTCTGAGTGTCTAGAAGTGCTCCAAGGTGGTTTCCCAGGGCAACCGGGAGCTGTGAGCGACCGCCCCCCTGGGCTTAACACCCTGTAAAAGGACGCAGACAGAAAGGTCAGTGAAATCATGGCCAGGAGAGGTGAAATGATGAACTAATAGCTTAGAGAGATCCTTGATCCTCCCTGCTCTCACATGTTCCCAGAAACAGTCAGCCAGTCTTCTTGCTGTCTCATCAAAGTTAATAAGCCATTTTATACAAAATACCTTACCGGGTACACATGATATTCTCTGGGTGATTTTAAAATAGCCCAAGGGGCCATGTGTGTGCATGATATTAGATGCATGCATTATTTGCAGGGGATGCAGTGGCTTCTGTTAAAGGAAACGATGCCTGGTGTAGTGTTTGCTGTGGGTTGTTAAGGGAACTATGGACAAGAATGTTGCACAGATTAGTTGGCAATATGAGATAATAGGGGGCTCTGGGGAAAGATTTCCAGTTGAGGAATCATCCTGTAAAATGGATAAGTTATTTTTGATGATCCTAGGAAGAGAAAGTTTTTAGGAGCGATCATCACTGTAGACAATAAGATCAGCACGGAGGTGATCGCCAGACTGGCTGCCGGCAATAGGAGCTATGAGGTATTATACTGTATAACCAACTAAAGAACTGTAGCCTATCGCGAGATCTCAAGAAGGTTCTGTACCAAACTGTTATTAGACCTGTGGTAACATATGGTGCAGAAACCCTAACTAAAGCTGACGAAACACCTGGGAGAGGCAAGTTCTTAGAAAGATATATATATATATTAGCCCGTGAGGATAAGAGAAACATGGAGAATAAGAACAAACAATGAACTGAGGAGACTGTACCAGGACCAAGATCTGGTTGTGACGATTAAGGCAGGACAACTACAATGGCCTGGGCACGTCCAAAGGATGTAGTGGTGTAGAGGTCCCCGAAGAGTGGTGTAGAGGGAAATCCAGGAGGAAGGAGGAGAAGAGGATTGCTGAGATTGAAATGGCTGGAAGGAGGAATGAGGAGGCAGAAATAAGAGAGCTGGGTGTGAGGAGATGGAGGCTTAAAGCAGCAGATCAGACACAATGGAAGACTGTATTAGCGGAGGCCAAGGTCCTTCAAGGACCTTAGAGCCATGGAGGAAGGAAGGAATAGAAAGGTTCTGGAGTGAATAAAGGAATTGTGGAATACAAGTCTTGGTCTGGTAGTTTCTTGCTGGATTGAAAAAAGAAAGCATTTTAAGGGCTTGTTTTGGTAGTCTGTGTCAGCACAGCATACAGTAAGTAATAAAGCAAATATGAGAAAGGGATAGTGTGTTTGTGGTGGAAGGAGATGTACATGGGGTGTTGTACTGCACAGTACTTGACAGTCTCTGGTAGTTGACGAGGAGGCTTATGTCCTGAAAAAGAAAAGTGGTGGAGTATACATGAAAGGTGAATTGTAAAGAAAGAGCCCTGTGACGGGACTAGCCCCCATCCAGACTGTATCCTAACTTCTGTGACACCATCATCATGATGTAAAGGGATGTGATGTCCAAGGTGAAAATGAAACATTCTGGTCCCTAAATTTGAAAATTGTTAAAAAGCTAAAGAGCACGGATGTTGTCAATGATTTATGAAGGAGCACTTCAACTTGTGGTATCAAAAGGCTGTCCAAAAATCTGAGATATGTATAGCAGAGCAGTTGCATGACAAGACAATTGGAGATCCTGAGGATCTTTGGCCTGTGGTAGGATCCTGTGGAAGAAGGTGGTATGAAGAGATGTTATTTAGTTAACTTGCAGGGCCTCTTATGTATTAGGAACTAGTACAAAACTTGGGGTTTGCTGAGCAGGGATCTATCATCCTAGGAAATAGGAAGGTCAGAAAGAATGGTAACAACAAGATTCAAGTTGGTAGTGTTTGGGGGGTTTCTTTTGTAGAATTTGTAGTTTTGTGTCTTTATCCAAATCCAAATCAAGAAACAAACAGAGCCTGGAATGTAGGGTCCTAATAATAAGATAAATATATTGTAGAGCTGCTGGTCACAAACGTTCTTTGTTTTCCTGATGTTATTGTTAGAGTGGGCAATGTCTTTTTTTTAAGGGAAAGATAGTAGAAATAATTGGTTTTGTGAAAAATTAGTAAAGAAGTCTTTGAGTGTTGATCTGGATGATATCAGAAACAAACAAAAAGATGTTGAATAGGAGGTGGTTGGAGAATGTCTTATTATGGCAGGAATCATACTAAAGCGAAAAACTCTGTTGCATGATGATCTGCCATCTGAAGAGCAAGCTTAGGCCTGAAGGTAAAGTGGTCGCTCACTGATAATGCTGTCTTAGAATTTGATCATTTGGAATGGTGGGGGGATTATGATCTGGTGTATTTATACCGATGCATTCTACAGGTCATCAAGTACCACATCTATTTTAGATCCTGTTTATCTTCTTTCTGTCCCATTGTCCTCAATATTATAAATGAATCCTTGAGCACTGGCGTTGTATCAGTGGTCCTCAAAACTGCTTCCAAAAAAGCCTAACATGGCTGTGGACAATCTAAACAATTTTCGCCCCATCTCCAACTTACCCTTTTTTGCAAAAATTCTAAACCCTACTGTCACATTTCAGTTACATAACCACCTCATGGCAAATAACCTTTTCAAACCCCTCCAATCTGGCTTCTGTCAACTTTACAGCACAGAAACTGTTCTGGTCAAAGTCACTAATGATCTTCTAATAGCTTCTGATTCTGGTTCTCTTTCTATACTAATCCTTCTTGAGCTCAGTGCTGCTTTTGACACTGTTGACCATGACATCTTATTTTCTTATCTTGAGACTGTGTTTGGGGTTTCTGACACTGCTCTTTAATGGTTCAAGTCTTACCTCACTGATCACTGTCACTTTGTCTCTCTTAATGAGTATACCTGTAGGTCTGAAATTGGCCTCGTTAAGTCTGGTGTTCTTCAGGGCTCAATACTGGGCCCCTTGCTTTTCAGCATTTACATGTTTCCACTTGGTCAGCGTTTAAGATCACATGGCCTCAGCTATCATTTCTATGCTGATGATACTCAAATATACATCCATACCAAACCTGACAGTGATGTGGCTGTCTATTCTATCTAATTGCATCTCTGACATAAAAACTTGGATGACTCAAAATTTCCTTCATAGTAACTGTGACAAGACTGAAGTCATGCTTATCGGCACTCTCCATCAACTTTGTAAAGCCAATCCTGTAACCCTTTCTGTAGAAGGTTCTGTACTTCAGCTTCAGTCTAAATTGAAAAGCCTTGGAGTGACATTCGATTCTGGCTTAACATTCAATCCACATGTGCAGCATATTGTCAAAACATATTTTTTCACCTCAGAAATATTGCTAGACAACGCCCTATGTCATCACCAACCGTGGCTGAAAAGCTGATCAACACATTTGTGTTCTCCTGAATTGACTACTGTAATGCTCTACTCGCTGGGGTATCTAAATCTACATTGAACAAACCGCAGAATAGTACAGTATGTCCAAAATTCAGCATCCTGACCAGGTCAAGTACAAGTGATCACATTACTCTTATCCTGAAGTCCTTGCACTGGCTTCCTATCAAATTCAGTGTGGACTTTAAAATCCTCATGCTCACCTACAGATCCAGCCGTTCAAAATAAACAAGGTACGCTGCGTTAAATACACGGTGGGTGTGCCGCAAAATACTGCATCATACCTCAAGATAATTTAAATATGATAATAGTATCGAGAAGCACCTTGTAAAACCGCCAGGTGGAGCTACTAAAGCTTAATGTCTCATGTACAGCAATTGAGCTGTCACCAGAAAACGCCCGGTTTCGAATCCTGGTCACTGCTGAGGGACAATCTTTTTCCAATTAAGAATTTAAGTTGTATACTCTTTAGACTTTTAATCATTTTAAACTGTGTATTACAGCTAATCATTTATTATTAAACATTAAAAAGTCGGTATATTTTCTAAAAGCAAGATTGCTCAGTTGGACAAAAGTAAACAACCTTCCATCTTCATCATAAATATTCTAATTATGCATACATATTTTATTTGTAATTGTGTTTCATCTTGTGTAATCTTCTTATTTATTGTTGTTGTCATTCTGTAAAGTGCTTTGAGAAGCCACCTTTAAAGGCACTATATAAAATAAAGTTTATTATTATTATTATTGTAAGTAGCTTGTCCTTGGGGATTCAGGTAAGATCTGAATAGAACAAAGAGTTGTTTCACCTACAGAAAACACTTTTGCTTTGAAGAAGTTACTTTTTTGGCTTAGAATTACATTTAGATCAAGATATCAATAGAAATCCTGAAAATCTTGGGTATTTTGTGATATTTCTGTTTTTTCCCTTTAAATTGCTTCTACACGGAGAGAAGAAATTGGTTAATATCAACAGGATTAAGATTAATTTCTTTCATACAGTTATCACATTGATTCTTATTTATTGACCTAGCAACAGTCCTATCAACAATACTGGCAATGTAACTATAGGGTTTTAAGCTCAATAGTATTACATTTTAATAATAAATTTACACCTTAAACCAATAAATGTTGTGAAATATCTTCATCCTTTATACTTAAAATAGAAAATGTAATATGTTTTTTTTTCTGTTCTACGTAACTATTATGAATTAATAGTTTACTTCTTAATAGTTACTTGCACTTCCTATTAATATGTCTTGTGAAGAAAAAACATGAGAATGTTGAGGAACATGTTAGAAGTCTAAATTGTAGCATATTGGTTTTGCAATGTACAGTAAACTGATCTGACACAGTATCTATTTAACTCATTTATTAAATGTGCTTCAGTGTACATTTTAATAAAACCAACTTTTATAAGAATGCACAAAGATATTCTTGATACACAAACATATTGATGCTTCACAATCTTAGATATGCTTTCAAGATAGGCTACCCTACTTAATGTGCTAAAACAGCAGCATTTGAAAAGACAGAGGAAGATTATAAAATTGGTTTCATAATTTAAGGAAATGGTTACAATCGCGTCTCTGATCTCAGATTATAGAAAATTGTCTGCAGCAATGCTCCCTCAATTGAAGTGCTGTAATCATGTTATTTGTGTGAAGGTTAGCACAGCTAGTTTCTTTATTAGCAGCACATAATTCTGGATTGGCTGCACTGGGGAAGTGTTTCAATTTCCTTTGATTGAAGGCATCATTCCATTTCATAGATACCTGTACATCTGAAAATGATGGCAAGTTTCACTTTGCAATGTGGATAAAACCAAAGGAACATTCATTAAATTGCTAGGTATAATTCTCTCATTTAAAATTAGGTATCGCGTTTTCATTTTAAATTCTTGTAAAACATTATGATTATGATCCCAGTCAAAGTTGGTTAAATGGATCGTCTAACTTAATCATGAAATAAGGGAAACATTGATTATTGATTTATATGAATATACTGTATACTGTATAGCAGGAATAGAAAAAGCTACAAACATTTCCTGACTCAATGTGTTCATTATAAATCCCAGGGCATTTCTCAAAAAGACTACGGGTGTTACCCTGGCATCCTGGCCAAATTTCCCATTGGCCTTTACTAATCATGGCCTCCAAATAATTCCCCTCTATGAATTGGATTCATCACTCTGTTATCCTCCCCACTGAGAGCTGATGTGTGGTGAGCGTTCTGGTGCACTATGGCTGCCATCGCATCATCCAGGTGAGTGTGGCACATTGGTGGTGGAGGGGAGTCCCCATTGCCTATAAAGTGCTTTGAGTGGAGTGTTCAGAAAATTGCTATATAAGTGTAAAGAATTATTTATCTATTATCATCGGACTATGGAAGGAAACCCATATGAACACGAGGAGAACATGAAACTCACAGATCACTGGTCTGGACTTGAACTCTCGACCCCAGAACTACAAGGCAACAATACTAACCACAGTGCCACTTGGCTGGCCGCGATGCAATACCTCTTTTGTAATATTATATTACAATATTATATATACTGTATGTATTGTAGAATATGGGGAAAATAGCAAAATAAAGTTTACAGTTTTCAGAAAATAACAAACACACTCATTAAACACAAATGTCTATTATTTTCTTAATTTGCAATAAAAGAAAAGATTTAGGTTTTTTTTAAAACCTAAAACTGCATGGTCATATTTCTAATGTACCATTTTACAAAAGTACCTGTGCTCGTAGAGTACTCAAAGCAAATTGTGTAAACTGCTTTCTGAATGGCCTTTTTTCTTTGTTACTCCATAAAAAAAACAACTTGAATATGAAAATGGTCATTAAGGAGATGCTGCAGAAAGATTGCTCAGCATGGGATTTGGAAACAGCACGCTGGAACATAAGAAATAAAGGCGTAGTAGGAGGTCTTTCAAGTGTGGATGTGCGTATATTCTGCCTCATTTGATCAACACTAGGATTTTGTTTTTTAAATCCCAGATTCACTGACATCAGCCACTAATCTTGCACTCACAGGCCTGTGGCATTGTGGGATAAGGGACAGTGAATGATGTCTGTCCCTTCAGGTGAGGGTCATGCAGTCTGAGTTTGAAGCTTGACAACACATGGGATTGGGAACCCTTAAATGTTGCCTGGCCTTCCCGAGGCAGATGTCAAAACTTCGTAAATATAGTATCACACGTCTTGCTGGTTCACTAAAAGAAGGAGGTTACACTTTTAATCAAATAAGCTAAGCTAATGTCTGACAAGTGCAGGTCTGTCCCCACTAGGATTTGAAGAGGAAAACCTGTAGCTCCAGAGCCACTCAGCAACATACTGTACCCCAGACTGTGCACATTCGGGTTCCAATGGCAGATGAGACCTGTTACATACTGTATACTGTAGTACATATTTGATGACATAGTTAATACACTATATTTTTTGGAAATATATATATATAAATCTAATATATTATGTGTTTTAATTTGAAAAATTATGTATAGTGCAAATTTAGACAAACAAAAAACTTTTTAAGAAAGTGGTTTAGAGCACTATTTGTATTTTTCACCCCAATTGACAGAGCTATGCTGCCACCATATGGTAGCTTCTGCATATTGTTATGAGTAGTGAAACCAAATGAGACTTGGAAATTACATTTGTAATGAATCTGTAAATCTACTCAAATGCAGTTAGTGCTGTTGGTGTCACAAGATGGAATTTAACAATGATGTACCATAGGGAAGAAATTAGTGAAGTCTATTCATAAAACAAAACATAAAAAACATAATTTAGAGGTTGAATAGCTTTTTTTGGCATATTTTTCTTTACCTAATGTCAAAATTCGAAATCACTTATCTTATTGTCTGACTTACCTCATTTTCTGATCATTTGAAAACAAACAACAGCCATACTTTCAACAAATTGCACACAATTTAACCTTATTGTAAGATTTCTAAGCATAAGTATGTTTCATTCTTACTGTATGTATTTGAAATCTACAGAATGGGTCTCCTTCACTAAAGAAATAAGGTGTTAGTCCAATAATACTGTATGTGCCTTCTAAGCTAAAAGCTCCTTATTAGGATATGAGCAAAGTAGGGCATCAGTAGCACTCTTGTGATAAATTGTTTCTTGCCAAACTTTGTACAAATATAGTAAGAATGTAATAATCTGATGTACAGTATGACTCAATAGCTCAATAGCTTTGTACCAAATACACTGTCTGGTTCTATGACAAATCAGTCCTTAGCCCAGATCTCTAATTTTAAAGTGGGTTCGCTACTGTAGATTGTTTATTCTTTTATGTATTCTTGCTGTCTGGTTCTTCAGAAACATGTTTGCTAGACAGGTTTAAGTGAACCTGGCCCAGAACACACATCTAAAGATGTTTGTAAAGATGTTTTGATTTTCAAATGGACCATGTTGTCCGAAGATTGTTTTATAACGTATTTAGTTTTCTTGCTGTTTGCTAGTTTGTAACTGGATGTTCTGGGAGGTGTTGTCAGGAATGAGCTCCCCAGCCATGTGGATAAAGATGAGACTTGTTTTTTTTTCAGGAAACACCTGGTTGTATTAATTGGACTAATTAGCTACTATTTATTAAAAACTCTAAATGGGCCAAATGGCTTCCTCTCATTTGTTATCCTTCTTATGGCCTTAACTGGAGCCTATTAATTGCTGCTGTGTGGATATGTACAGTATGTGTGCTCTGTTAGCATCCCGTTAAAGCCTAAACTCCTGTGATAAGATCATGCTTGCTGCCACCCTTTACTGTACATTACCTTTCTGATTATGATTTTTAATCAGCGTTTTAGTGATAATAGATTTTTTTACAATTAAATTAAATTAAATTAATAGAAAGCACTCTGTGTACAAAAACAGAGAAGTATAAACTTGGCATGTTTAATATACAGGAATACATTCATAATATTTTCATACATGAAATTTGTACATAAAATATTTTGTGCAGGACATGTAGATTTCAAACTGTTTATCAGCAGTGAAAAGGCCTTTGGGATTAAGTTTCGCTGATTAAAACTCAGTTGCCTTGATGGCGAAAGAAATTGTACACTAATACTGTCTCACATTAGTTCTGAGTACCAATGATATACTGCAGTAATAAATTAACATTGCAGAACCAATTCAGTAGTAACCAGTCAGTAGTTACATTATTTATATCAAGTGCAAAAACACAGTATGCTTGTACATCTGAAATATAATAAACTACATTTTCAAATGATATACATAAAATGAAGATTTCATGTTGGAGGAACCTTTTTTGATGTTCTTATTTAGTACAGCAGGTTGACAAGAAGGATGACTAATGTTATTTCAGCAATGAAAGTACTTTTCTTCACATAAATACTTCCTGCTTAATTAAATATACACAAATGCAAACCTCCAGGACATCAAACAGTAGCACCACCTTGTGTATTATATTTGATACAATAACCTGGTTGCCCATGTATATACAGTACATATTGTTGCAGACAAATATGAAATATAGAAATGCTTGAAGCATGTCGAGCAACTTGGAGAATCCTGAGTCTTAAGTGAGCTTATCCATACCCATTTTATTCCTCAGTGTATCCTTTTGGCATAAGTACCAATAGAATTTCACACCATCACTGTGAATAGAACTTTTAACAACAGCTCTTCTTCATGCAGACTTGGCAACGACTGATGATACTTTTAAAGCGATCTGCTTTCAATGTTGAAGGCTTTGGCTTCCTGTGGAACAAAATGAAGTACACTTTTAGTTTTACATCACAGTGTGTTATGGCAAATTATACAAAACATCAAAATATTAGGTTAATTGGTTATCCTTACTGGTAATCATTTTAAGCAAATTAATTTGGCATGATTTGAGAATAAAACTATTTTTTTTTAATCATCATCAGGCACCAAGGACTTCCAATACAAAGAAATCTGATTTAATGTCAGAGATGAACACAATAAGAGGTACATTGACAGTTTGATCAAGCCCATTTCCAGAGTTAGTTTTGTCAGCAAATTTACAATCACCTCTTTTTTACTTTTAGAAATTTAGAATCACCTACATTTATTTATACTCACCCACTTTAGACTAGACAGCTGTAGTGTGTCACTTTTTGGCTCATGATGCCATTAACCCCCCCAACCTCACACAGGGGAGGAAGAGGAAGTGTAGGCAGGCTCCTCTGGCCTGCCCATCTTTGAGCCAATCATCTTTTGACACATCACAGGGAGCATAGCCTCATTCAGGAGGCTCAGAACCAATTGGAGAAGAGGCATGTCCTTTGGAGACTGCACCTCAGCCAATGGTGTGTCGGTACTTGTGGAATTCTGGCCCAGCTCCACGACTCAGGCTTGAATCTCACGATCTCCATGATCATAGAGCTAGGCCTGTGCTCGGGTGAGCATGTTTACCAGTTGAGCAATTTCAGAAGCCCCAAACATTTTATCACTTTGGATTGTACTTCAAATGAAATTCTACTGAAGAATGTCTTATCTAACCATGTTTCTAAGAAATTAAAAGGCATACTGTGGACTCACCTGAACATTTCATAGCGATTCAGAGTTGCCAGCCAGTAGCTGTAGGAGTCGGTGTAGTAGTTGCAGGTTCCTCTGCCATGGCACTCAATGAAGGGGACAGTCCGGAACTCCTCCAGACAGGAGCCGGGAGAAGACAGTGCCTGTCCCGAGCCTTCAGCCCCTGCCCCTGTGTGCTACAGCACATTAGCACAAAAGGTAAGGAAAAGGTATGGTTGGCGGAAAGCTTGTCAATACTTTAGGTTTTTCATTCACCAATTTTGGAAATACCTGGGCATTATTCAAGGTGTGAAGATGTGGATTGTTTTTTTCTATGAAGCAAAAACCTTTTGCAACAGCCTGCACCGAGACATCCATATAATGATCATGTCTGCAACAGCCCACATGACTGAAGCCCATTCATTCCTTTAGCAGTTGCTACACAAATAATTAAGATGATGTCTTAATGATGACTGCAACCTGGGTGCAGGTTGATTAGATTATTAGAAGTAATCTGAAGTTCAAGGAGGGATGACGACACCCAAGACAATTTTCCTCAGCTGTTCTAAATCACTATTAATCCTGATGTAATTTCTCAAAAGCTACTGTATATGCAGTATACTCTGAGTGAACATCTCTTAGTTGCAAGCACCAGTTGTACAGTATGTATCATCAGTAAAGGGTGGTCAACCCCCAAGATGATCTTGAAATTGCCCCATTGTCTCAAATGACTATTACTAATCAATTTCTAATCATGGACAGTCACATCCCAGGATATCTCATAAAAAGAGCATTATCAAAATCTGCATTCTGCACAAAGCAATTCACTGGCCACTTATTTCAGAAAGGATTTCCTCCTCAGCAATCCATCCAGGCATTCCTAACTTCTTAATTAAGCAACTTGGTCACTGGTCATCAGAGGCGTACCATGTATACAACAGTGCCAATTGTAATATCTTGAAAATACAGTACGTTCTATCAGTTTTTTTCCATTTTTCCAGTTCTTCTCATCTTTCCTTTTTTGCATTGGTGGAGTGGGGTTCCTCTTGGTTCAACTGGGAGTCCTAGCCCCCCTTTCCAATGGCCAGTAAGCTGTCCCTCAGCCAAGCAGATTAAACCAAATCACACAATACCAAAACATTTTATAACCATCCCCTTTTGTTGTTATTCCTCATACTGTAATGGGGATTATGAGAGCACTCTGTGTATTTCGGAGTCCCTCATCCTGGACTGGCTGGAGGGGTAGAAAGTGTCAGAGGGACCTGAGAGATTCTCTTCTACAAGTCTGGTTCTTCCTTTTATGTTATGTCCTGCTAACTGCTAGAGCTGTGAGCATCCTAATAAAGAGCTTTATTTAAGATGGAAAGATGTCTCCCAGAGAACTCTTTATAAGACTGCTGCTTCCTTTCATGTAGTCAAATATACATAAATAACACTGAAGTATGCCTTTACAAAAAACAACACAAACAGCAGAAGTGTGTTTTAAGCAAATTGTAGATGTGCAGAAATATTTTTCTAATAATACACTGAAAGCAAAACTGCACATGACATAATTCTTGAAAAAAGCAAAACAGTTAGCAAGCAGTGATAGAAAGTATTTAAATGTTTGAATATAAAAAGCTAACCATATATCATTTTTACTATACAAAAAACACATCACCTACAGTACCATTCAAATAATACTGTATTTTAATGTATATTCCATTATATTTTCAGAAACTAACAGCAATCTTTAGACTATAACATTAGTACAAGTAGAACAAATTCCTTTACAAATTTCACCACAAAGGGATTAAGCAATCATTTTGTGAAACTATTAAATAGTTTTTAAGATTTTATGATTTCTTACCATCACAAATGAGTATCCCATCCACACTGATTCCCAGCCATTTGGGCACTTTGGGATTTCAAATGTTTGACTGTGAACTGCTATTAGATTTGCTTGAGTTTCACATACTGTGCACCTGTTTAAAAAAATATTTACACAGCTGTCATCATGCACTGCTGTACAGTACCTTCATTTAAAGAATAGGAATACTGAAAAGAGAGCATGAGTCTCTCTCCTGGATGGGACACAAGTTCATCAAAGAGCCCAAACAGTGGTCCCCATATATATACTGTGGCTGGGTGGACTGGAGCAAATGGGGTTAGGTACAGAACCTCCCTCAAGGTACAACAGCAGGGTCTGCATTGGGACTGAACCAACAACCAATCATGTATGAGTCAGGAGACTTACCCATCCATGATACACCACCCTCTACTGAAAGACTACTGGAAAATAATTCACATACAATAGAATTGCAGTTAAATAGTTCTGCTTGTGAATTAACTACCCACTCTACAAAGTAGCAAACATGTTCACCTTGCACAAACTGCTCTGATGTACTGCATATTACTTGTATATCAAACCTTACAAGGATTAAGGAAATCTGTATTACTGTTTCCCCACCAATTATATAAAGATGCAAAGCACACAAGAGGTTTCACAATACACTCATCAAACATACTCTTGTCTTCCACAGCACTATGATCCACAATAGAACACTTTAAGGTCGTACCTGCTGATGAATTTTTCAGCTCCTTCAGCCATGATTGGAGCATTGTCTTTTGACATTTGCTCATCAGTGGAAAGCCAGTAGGAATAGTCATTCCTTGAGGCATAATTACATGTGTTATTGGTGCTGCAAAATAAAAAGGGCATTGTCGAGAACCGCTGCAGGCAGCTTCCAAGAGTACCTGCAAGACATGATATCTGCACTGAACTGAAGCAGTTACACGATAACTCCAGTAGTTCAGCAGGACAAGGCAGTGTGGAAAAGTCTTTTCAGTGATCCTTGGCTTGTTTTCTCCCTCAGTGAGATTCACTTTCCAACAGATGTTTTGTTGCTAGGGTTTCCACAGTTTAGAAAGTCTATTGTGATTCTTATTCTTCCTGATTATTAGTTTTGTAGCTTACTATATCATATTTGAATGCGCAGTACTGTACACGGGAAAACACAATGCACAATTAAATCAAATTAACCATCAAAATACGTGCAAAAAAACATGTTTTCAATCTTGCTAGAACAATATAATATTCACAGTCAAAGTGCTCAGCAGTGGAAAGTGAAACAATTGAAGGGGAGAAATATAAGTCTGTAGATTTTAGATTATAGTGTGGATGCTGGTTGCAAGGACTTCAAAAATGAAGTTACCAGGCAATGTAAAGTTCTTGAAGTCGACAGAAATTGGTAAATGTACCAAGGTACTGTAGCTACTTTATAAAGAAATGATTGTGTCCAAGTGCACTAGTTCCAGTTAAATCTGAATGGCCAATAATAATGCTTTAGCCCTTGAAGGAGATTTGTGAAAACACCAGCAAGCAAGCCTTTACAGTAGCTTATTCTGGGCAAGATTAAGACATTATTATTATTATTCCTTACATTTAATAATCAAATTAAGGTTGAAATGTAGGTCAGCTAGATTGCACAATTTAAGCAGGGAAATCCCTCAGGACACTGGTGTTGTTTCAGACAAACAGAAAAGATATTTGCTAAGTGACAAGTTGTAAACAAAACAGAGGAATTGTACAGAGGATTCCAACAGTAGCATTCAAAGGCTGGAGTGAATAAAACATTCTTGGCCTTCTCACAGCTGAGGTGCAGGACCAAGAAATATAAACTTTGCCTAATTAGATATGTACATGTACGGTAGTTAAATCTGTTGCAAGACAGAGACAGCAAAGCAAACATTGGAAAATACAGGAAAATACAAATACAATATGTACCTAGATCCTGTCCATGTGCTCTGCTGTTTCCATTCACAAAAAGGAGCGAGTAGCCCTCGTAGAGCCTCTCACTTCGCTCAGGGCAGGGAGGAATGAGTTTGCTCTGGCTGTGACGAGTGAATATAAAACTCTGACTATCTTCCTTACAGACTATGGCACCTTTGAGTCCTGAAGCCCCTTTACGACCTGGAGGACCTGGATCACCTCTTGACCCTTACAGGAAACAAAAAAAAATCTTGTCTGTAAAACAAATAAGAATTAAGATAAGCAGAGAATATAACCATAGGTGGCTATATGACATTCAAACCTCTAAATCCGGGAAAACCTTGATCTCCTTTGTCACCAGCAGGCCCAGGGTTCCCCATACGGCCCATACGGCCTGGCAATCCTTCATCCCCTTTGAGTCCTGTCAGTTGAAGTAAATAAAGTTTGGAATGAAGTTAAATGGAGCAATGGAAACACCAAATCCAAATCGTTCTTCATGCAGAAGGCGAGTTTGTCAACGTCTATTCTCCAGGATCCAGAGTTTTCCGGTTTCCTTGACCTGACTAAACTGTAATACATGATGGACAGTGGGACTCTGCTGACCACAGCTGGGGACCACCTGCTTTTTCCAATGTAGAGTGACTGCAGGGCCTGCCTGTCAAATACAAACTGTAAAGCGCTAACAAGTCTAGAATCTTAAATCAGTCCCCTGAACAATATGTCAGATTACACACACATAACACAGCTGTTTTTGATTGCTTGATGGATCTTGAGGACCTCTTCCAAGGGTTCTGAAGAAAGGGGAAGTGGATGAATTAATATGGTCAGGTGATTATGGTCAGGTGACCATTATCAATTGATGGACAACTTTTCAACCTACCACCGCTACATCTTTGTTTTCGCTTCTCTCAACCCCTGAAAGATGGAACCTAAGTTTGAAAACTCGCCAGTGTTCATAAGGTTGATGCAACAGCCTCAATCAGACAGCCTCTGGCAGTACAGTAACATGCTGGTGGCGTAGTGGTTGGAATGTGAAGTGTTGAAAAGGGTAAAATACAGAGCTGTGATATAGCCCAGTAAGTGGTACCAGGTGATTTATTTGGTTTAGGAATTACCTTTGCTTTTTGAAAAGTCAATATTGATTCTATACTGTATGTATCATATATATATCTATATTCAATATTGGAAGAGTTGAACAGCTTTTTCAAAGTTGTATGAACTGTAGTTACTGTAGCTGTAGTTATAGACAGGAGAAGAACTCTTACCTTGGAGGCCCGTGAGCCCTGGTTTCCCCTGTGGACCTTGCTTCCCGAGATTTCCGGGTGGGCCTCTATCTCCTTGGTCACCCGGCAACAGAACAAGTTCTCCAGGGAGACCGGGGTCGCCTTGAGTTACACGGAAAAAGCACCAGGTGACATTTTATCCTAGTTTATGTTTGCTTACTTGAATGAAACTTTTACATGACATTTGCAATTGAGGAAAATGAATAAAACTAAAGAAAAAGAAACTGATTTGAGCAACCTTTTCACTATTGAAAAATATGAAAATGCCTCTGATGTTGTGGATATAAAGTGATGAATCCCATGTGATATTCTTTTCGTGTTTTTTCTTTACTTTCTATTCGAATGACTACAAACAAAAATTCACTTGCAAGATATACTTTGCCCTCAGTAAATCAATCATTTACAGCTTTTTTCACACACCCAGATTACTTCTAATAATGGAGCTGCCTAGCATGAAGAATTTAATAAATATAGCCTAGAACTAACGCAAACCAGCCCACAGTGTCACTTTATTAAAGGGGTATATAGAGGACAGTAGATGTTCACACCTTAAAACTTCTTTAAATATCAAAAAGACATTACACACCGGGCAGTCCGGGCGGCCCTTTCATTCCTTTGCATCCCTTTGGACCGGGCACAAGACAGACACCTTGCTCACCTAAAACAGTCCAGTTCACAGTATTAAGCCTTCATTTCTTTTAAGAGACAGAAATAACCTCTCATTACTTGCTCTTCGGGGATTAGATCAAAAGAGTACATATAGTATTCTTCTTGTTCCTTGTCTATCATTAATATTGATGCTTTAACAGAACCTGTAAGGTTATGATGGTGATGCAGCTGATGATGATAATGCAAATTATAATTACATGAACAATAGTAATAGTGACAAAGAACGTATTAATAGCATTAATACTACTACATATAACAACTTTAAAAGAATACAGAATGTTCTTGTTGAAGTAGTTTCTAAATAATTCATAAAGATCACAAGAAAAATAAGGACCAGAATTTCTTACCATCTCTGCCCGGTGTCCCTGGAAGGCCAGGATTTCCTCTTGGACCTGGCTTTCCTGGGCTGCCTTGACCACCCTGTGAGAAAGCAGTATTTCAACCTATCGGCCAAACCATCATCAGTCAAGAAAACAAAGTGTTTTAACCTTTAAATAATAATAAGATCTTTATTTTTGTTGTTATTATTTTATATTGTGGTGGATATTCTGTTGTTACTATGCACAAATAACTTGGAAGTTACACAAAGCTTTCAGATTTTTCTCAGCTCCTCTACTATATATAGGAACACTGCAAAGCCCTGTCTAATGTAGAAAACTTTAAGAGCTGATAGAACTATTAACTAATAGTTAAAAATAGAAACATAACATTATTAATTAACTAAAAGGATTTCCATTACAGCGGATACGTTGAAGGTTTGAGATTACTAGATGTAACAGAGCTGCAGATCTGAAGTATTGACACTGGGTTGAGAGATGAAGCAGTTTTCTCTCCTTGAAAGAGGTTAACTCACAACAGAGGTTGCATGTTATTCTGTTCTGGTTGTTATTCTGATTTCGGGGTAGACATGTAAAGTCTGTGATGAGGCAATATGGAAAACTAAAAGTTCAATCTTCAGGTGTGACTTTAGTAATAATATCAAACTGTCTGCTGTTGTGCCAGGAGCACAGGTTCGGCATGTTTGAGAAGTTTCCCTGGCCAAACAGGATCACTTGGTTAACTTGCGGCATGAGTGACAAGGGGAAAAGTAAAGGCGAGAATGAATTTTACGACAGATGGGAAGATGAAAAACATCATGGTTGGTCCCGGGGCAGTCTCAGGGAGTGGGCAGGGCCCAGGGCTGGATTGGTGTTGTGGGGCCCGGGGTGGGGGGGGTTCTTGTGTGTAGTGGTGGCGGCAGGGAGAAGTGTTCAGGTGATGAAATAGCTACCTAACTGGCCTGCGCAAACAGACATGCAGAACCGAACACAACCACTAATCGCCGTTGTTGCTAATGCTATCGGTACCTTCAGGTGTCTCAATCTAGCATCCCTGTCATCGTCAAGATCACCACCGGTGTCCGTTACTTCTTCACTCCTGGTTTTTACAACGAACCTTTCCAAAGACCCTTTAAGTGCCACATTTACATTCTTTCTCTTCTGCTTCCTTTTACTTTTCTCGCACCCACTGTAGTATTTTCTCAATTTGTCCCTGTCTCTGCTTGTGCCCGCCATTTTTCCACCGGCTGACTTTTTTCCAAGCTAGTTCAGTTATGGCGCAAGAGCTTTTAGCTTGCAACTGATTGCCATGACGCGTGGAGGCACGCCTCCAGTTCTGAATAAAGCATCTGCTCTCCCACTAACTTTAGATTTCATCTTGAGTTAAAATAAGAGTTTTGTGTGTCACTTTATTAAAATATTTAAACATGTATTTATATTTTTATGGGTGTGTGAAGCTGGGCTGAGGATTGGGGGGGGTTGGGCTGGCCAGCGGAGGGCCCCCCTTAGAGACGGCCCTAGTTGGTCTGGCCCGAGCCCACTTCCACACTTCTCCAGCTTAACAAGGCGGTTGGTGCTCATACAGTAGCTCCTCCACACCATCCAATCTGATTAGGAAGATCTGATACTCATATTTTCATTAAGATATAAGGTTCTCTGAAAATATACACCCTAATTCCTATAAAAATTCCAGGATTCAATTTTTTTCATTTTATGTTGAAGTAGTGGCTTTCTTTCCTGTTGTATCCTTGTAAATGAATGTTGGGTGAAAGATGGAGGTAATAGATGGAGCTACTACTGTAATTGCAGTGATGTTGTGACTCACTGGCAGGCCCAGAACTCCCTGATCTCCCTCCATTCCTCTACAGCCAGGAGGTCCAGGGTAGCCAGGGTCCCCCTTGTCTCCTTTAGGGCCATGTGTCATTGGCCCTGAAGGCCCCGGAAGTCCTTGAAATCCTACGCAAATGGCAAGACAATAAGGATATTCATGTTCATCACAGTATTTGTAGTCACCTTTGAGCATCTTGTCATTAAGTTATATACATCTAGTGGTACAAACCCTCATTCTAGCCCAGCTCAATAAATGTCCACAGGCAGAAGGAGAGCCCTAAACTAACAGGAGTGGACACAATGAATGGAAGTGTGTTACTGGTAGCAGCCAGCACACAGAATCAGGATTTTACAGACGAGGGAGGACTCACCACAGATCACTAGCACTGCTTTTATCGTTTCCACGTGTAAAAGACAGACAATACATGATGTCCAAAATGAAATAAAAGAAACTATTTTGGAATTTCCCAGAAAAAGTACAGTGCCTTGCGAAAGTTTTCGGCCCCCTTGAACTTTTCAACCTTTTGCCACATTTCAGGCTTCAAACATAAAGATATAAATTTTTTATTTTATGTGA